TTCTTGACCCGTTTAGTTTTTATCAGATTCGGAGTTCGTAAAATCAAACGAAAACTAATATGATAAATGAGAGATTAGATTCCCAGTTTTCTTGTAGTTGGATCTCCCAATTTTTGGAATGCTCCAAACTCAACTTGCAAATCTAAATCCGGATTAATACCCGCAAACAAATCTCGAAACAGTGTTCTAGCACCGTGCCAAATATGGCCGAAGAAGAAAAGCAAGGCAAATGAAACATGACTAAACGTAAACCAACCCCTTGGACTGCTTCGGAAAACACCATCGGATTTCAAAGTAGCACGATCTAATTCAAAAATTTCACCAAATTGAGCACGTCTAGCATATTTTTTCACAGTAGTAGGGTCGCTATAAGTTAACCCATTAAGTTCCCCACCATAAAAAGAAACAGTTACGCCTACCTGTTCAACACTATACTTTGATTCTGCCCTTCGAAATGGGACATCAGCTCGAACAACTCCACCGCTGTCCACTAAAATAACTGGAAATGTTTCAAAAAACGTCGGCATACGGCGTACAAAAAGTTCACGCCCCTCTTTATCTCTAAAGATCGGGTGACCTAGCCATCCAATTGCTATTCCATCCCCCTTATCCATGGAACCTGCTCTGAATAATCCGCCTTTTGCAGGATTATTTCCGATATAATCATAAAAAGCTAACTTTTCCGGAATTTTAGACCAGGCTTCCGATAAACTTTGTTTGTCGGCTAATCCCACACTAATTCTGCGATATATTTCTTGTTGGAAATATCCCTGATCCCATTGATAACGGGTAGGCCCAAACAATTCAATTGGAGTAGTTGCTGAACCATACCACATAGTTCCGGCAGTCACAAAAGCTGCAAAAAAGACAGCGGCGATACTACTAGAAAGGACGGTTTCAATATTTCCCATACGCAATCCCTTATATAACCGTTGGGGCGGGCGGACACTCAGATGGAATAGGCCTGCTAATAAACCCAAAGTCCCGGCTGCAATATGATGCGAAGCTATTCCCCCTGGAACCAATGGATCAAACCCTTCTATGCCCCAGGCTGGATTGACTGCCTGTACTTTTCCTGTTAACCCATAGGGGTCTGAGACCCAGATTCCAGGACCATACAAACCTGTTACATGAAATGTGCCAAACCCAAAGCACGTTAGTCCTGCGAGAAATAAATGAATACCAAAGATCTTGGGTAAATCTAAAGAAGGTTTTCCTGTACGTTGATCAAAAAAAACTTCTAAATCCCAATAAACCCAATGCCATATAGCTGCCAAAAAGCATAATCCAGAGAAAAAAATATGTGCTCCAGCGACACCTTCGTAACTCCACAAACCTGGAGTCGTTATGGGTCCCCCTGTGATATCCCAACCTGCCCACGAAGTAGTTATTCCCAGACGAGTCATAAAGGGTATAACAAACATACCCTGTCGCCACATTGGATCAAGAATCGGGTCAGAAGGATCAAAAACCGCTAATTCATATAGAGCTGTCGAACCAGCCCACCCAGCAACCAGAGCTGTATGCATGATATGAACTGAAAGCAATCGACCAGGATCATTCAATAAAATAGTATGGACACGATACCAAGGTAAACCCATGAAAATACCTCTTGATCAAAGAGAAAGAGACGCTACATAACTTTCTTGCCTTGCCCGTAAAAAATAGTTTTGAGTTAGATATCTATTGTTAAGAATTGAAGAATAGAGCCTTTAATGTATATAAAATATAAAAAACCAATATTCTAACTAAGTCTAATAAAACCCTATCTTTTGTTTTAGTTTTTTAACGTTTCCATATCAAAGTAAATTTTGAAAAGGATATAAAGTGTTTTTTATTTAATTTTATGCCCATTGGTGTTCCAAGAGTACGTTTCCTATATGACGAAGATACAGGTCAAGTGTGGATTGATATATAGTGCGGCTTGGCAGATAGGTTGAGTCAATTGGGACTTTCCCCATATCTCGCCCGATCGAGATAGCCCCCTTTCACCAAAAATAAATTAAGGGAGTCGTCCCAAATTTGGAGCGTGAAGTGCAATCATAATATTTGTTGGGGAAATTGAATACCAGGCGTTATTATGGTTTTATGAAAAACTTAATGTATTTACGCTCCGTTTACAAAAAACACTTGGTAAGCCATCAATGATTTTCACTTTTAACCTACAAAATGCCTAGACTTTGAAGACTTAATAAATAAATGAAAATAAAAAAGTGATAAAACAAAAAATGGCAAAAAGAACCTATTTGTTATATATATACAAATATAAAATTGGGAGAATCTTTAACCCGGAGAAGAGAAAAAACCTATACAAAAGTAAACTCATTCAGGAACAAGAAAAGAATATCGGAATTTGGATTAAATCTCGATGAAACAATAAATCAATGAGAAGTTTACTCAATCCGTTGAGTGACCAAAGAACCTCTTTTAAAAAACAGAAAGGGACTAGAATCTAGACATTGATTCATTTTCAAAAGTTTGGTGAACCGTATGTATCAAAAGGCGCGTGTACGGTTCCAAAAGGGAAATATTTCACCCGAAACAACCGACTTTATCGCGAACGATGCCTTTTTTTAACTCATACAATAAATACTAAGATTGGGAATCAACTTGCAGGTCTTTTTATCTATCTTGGTATTCAAGATGATCCCAAGGATATTTTTTTTTTTTTAAACTCTCCGGGCGGAGGAATAATATCTGGATTGGCTATTTATGATAGTATGCAAGTTGTACGACCAGATACCCAAACCATATGCGTTGGACTGGCCGCTTCTATGGCCTGTTTTCTCTTAGTTGGGGGAACAATTACCAAACGTCTGGCATTCCCTCACGCTTGGCGCCAAAGATTTTTTCCACAAAATCACGAGTAATACTATGCCTTCTTTAATATGAATATGAAAATTCTAATTAGGTAAAAATAGCATGGCACTTTGAATTCGATATGAAAAG